TTGCAAAACATGTTGAATAGTTGTTGGGTTTTTTTTTTGGTGGGGGGGGGGGGCAGTGTTATTTAATGACTGGCCTGGATGAAGTCCTTGATCTTTTTCCATCACCCTGACATCCCACTGAGCACCAATAGTTCCTACACTTGTAAATCATCAACTTGCCTTGACGAGTTACACGTAGATACTTAAGTTATTTGGACAGGTTCAAGTCGGGCGAAAGCACACATCCTGCCCAAAGTGGAATTCAGAGTGCATACTCGAGAGCTTTTTTTGGATCCCTTCCAAGACAGAAATAATCCTCCCTGTTATTTTAGGATGAAACAAACTGGCTGCTGATGAAATGTATGAAGGGTTGGAGCCGATAATGTCTTCATTATGTACACATACATGTGCATTTTTGTTTTGTACAGTATGATGAACTCTGCTGTAAAATTGATATAGCCCCCTCTATTGTTGAGGTTAATTTTAACCCTACATACATGTATATCGGTACTTTATGTTTACATGTACGGTATGCCACTGATATCGATACATTGCTTCGTTCGTTTCAAATGATAAAAATGATAAAATCTTTTCTTGGGTTTATATTGTTAAGCACAGATTAAGCTGACGTTGGTGTGGAGAGAAATTGGACTTGTAAGACACATCACAGTGTATTTGCAGCATTTGGGACAATTATCAAATTAAGTGTCACCAATTTTAAGAACAACTCTACCCCAAGGTTTTTCCAGCCAAAAATGGTCACTTATTTTTAAAAGCACCTCCTGCATACTGGTAAAGGGACCTTACAAAAAAATTAATTGGTTGGAACTTCATTCAAAGACCATCTACAGTACATGTTCAGGCAACACGTGTACATAGTCAGGGGTCACGTACTCGGTTGGTCATACTGACAGACAAGATACCACTATTTTCAAATCTACAGCGTGAAAGTTTCTTACTTTGACAATAAGTTTAACAACATTTTATAAGCACTGTGTACATTGCCCTTGCTAAGGTAGGACTTGAACCCACGACCTTCTGCAAGTTCTGCTTACTAGTGTCTTAACTACCCAATCACCTTGTAGGCCGGGGTTAGCTGACCTGCTCAAATCTGATAATGAGCAAGTACACAATGGTGCACAAACAGCGGGAACATGTGTCGTCAATGATGATTATGTATGTATAATGCATGGCCCTGAACATTGCACTTCACATCACCTCGTCCACGCTCAGCATCCACACCGTCAACACGAGTAATAATGCTCATCGCTGCCCGCATCGTCACCTGTCCCCATCTTCACCCAAAATATTTTTGGACATCTCTGCGAAAACACTTCTCATCTCACGGTCTCTCACTGACCAATTTAATTCACGGAGCGGTATACTTAGCCTTGCATTCGGCCGGTTCGCTGATCGCTGACATTTAAATATAAACTGGCCTGGATCTGCTACTCCAATTAACGCATTTTCAGAGCGTCCTAATTAGTTGGGGATCTGTTGATTTCTATTTTTAGAGCATCTTGTTAATGTAAACAAGTATAAACTGAGTTTCATTCCGAACCAGACACAATAGGGAACTAAATAAATTAAGAATTTAATCAATTGACAGTAGCAGGATTTGAACCCCAAACCTCTGTGCCAGAGGATTTTAAAAGCATCATGAAGAATCTTCAAAATGTATCTTAAATTATCTTTTGGTGCAAGAAATAGCATCACTTGACTGTAAAAGTGACTGAAAGTATTGTAAGTAGAATTTTTTTGAAGGGATGATATCATCTTGACAGCCCTTGAGTTCTTGCAGTGCATCTATCTTCATGCGCCACATTTTCGTTGCAAACTGCGACAAACAATACAATTAATTTTGCCATGTTTCATTTACAGTCATCATATCTTTCGCCTGTGGGGCACTTCACTGCGGTCCCACTTTTCCATGAAAATTACCCCCTGCTTCAGTTTTTAATTTGGCATCGTCGAGTATTGTCAGCACCATTCCGACAGACAGCGGTCACCACAAAATAAGCCCCTTTCCAATCATGTGCTGCTTGATAGTGGCTAATCATGGCAATGATCCATCGACTCGCCAATTTCTCAAACTAATTTTTCTTCATTTTGGCAGACGAAGTAGTCCGATTCCAAGAACGAGATTAATCTCCCCCGCCCATATTACCAGAAAGAGCGATAGCGTCAGGGTCAGTGGCCATCCAGTCCTTGTAATGGACCCGACGCACTTCTTTATTTTTCCACGATACGCGCCATCCATTACTCTTGACGTGGTTTGTTATTTTGGGGCGAATTCTCGGCAGTTTTTTCGCATAGTCCAATCTGATAAATTGAGCCGGTTCCCTATTTGGAGGCTTTTTTTGGGGGGGGGGGGGGGGGTGGAGGGGGAAGGGAGTTTGGGGTATTGACCGAAGTGTGAACTCTTCATCCTCAAGTCTGGCGACCCACATCTCAGCAGTGGTTGAATAGAAAGTTAGTGGGACTTACAGTAAGGGGTTGCTCATATGCCGTAGCACCATAAACATTTGTCATTTACAAGTAGGAATGTACTTTAAATACCCGGTACCTCTAAAATTATGCTGCCATAAATGTGAATGCTTTCATTACATTTTTCTTTATGTTGTTCTTTTTATCGCTTGAAATATAAATTTAAAATCTAAGTTACTATATAGTAATGTACTCGATTGTAATAATAATAAATTTTGGAGAATGGTAGCTTAGAGAGAAATTCCCATAGGGTTTTGCAAAAACAAATCAAACTTTCCTGAACCCCTACATGTAAGTTACCCCAATTTTATCTTGTCCTACCCTCTCAAATTTTGGTACATTTACCGGTATGTTTTGGACCACGAGCAATTGATCCAGCCTATTTGCGATCGTAAAATGTTGTCTGTCATCTACATACCGGTACATGTGTATACATACATGTACCGTACCTTGTCTCTCTAACTTAGGCATACGTGTAACTTACGATGAAAATATGTCTCCTTAAGGGGACATTTGTACATGTACATATTTTTTTGTCTTACTAGTACAATACATGTAGTTATTTTTTCTGCCCTGTCCCTCCCCCAGCATGCCCAGTTAAAAAAATTGGATGAGGTATAAATCCCCCAATCCCAACCCCCCCCCCCCCAATTTTCCACCCTTGAATGAGGAAAATAATGCACTTTAAAAATGTCAAACATAAGAAATAGGCTATGTTAAGACTGTCTATGATATGGTCTCAGCTCCTTCCCCTCCCCCTGCGCGCCCCCACCCTCAAAAAAGACTAATTAATCTGAACTTGACAACTAGAACCGATTTGGAATATCTTCGGGTCAACGATTTATTAATTTGCTCAATGAAACCCATTAATAGAGAATCCGCTCATCAGGGATATAAACACCAGCAATGTAAACATGGAATAGCTAGCATCACTGAGATGACTGGGTGTTTGTCAGAGCAGACGGACTGATGATTTATAGACACTGGCCGGTCTGTCCAGTCAAGAATGATCCCTTCGTCTTCTGTTGGTTGTTTGCACAGACAGTGGACAGTACGCTGAGGTTTTCTTACACATGTTTTCAGGGGTTTGGCGGAATGTCGTTACAGGATTGTGGGTGGATACAATTGAAAGAATGCTCCAGGTTCCAAATTTGGTAAAGAGCATAAACAGGTTGAAGATTATTCTCATTAACCGATGTCACTGTCTTGGTCACTGACCTTGTATCAGATTTTATAGAAAGCGTTTCGTGGAACTTTTCTGACCTTTGAGTTCTTATTATTTCACAATTATATAAATGTACATGTACAGTTGAGAAACCTTTTAGTGCAGCAAAGATAAAAGACTGAAATCATAGTTTTCTGAAACTCATTCCCATTTATAGTATTATAGAAAGTGTAGTCAATAAATCTGAAGGCTTTGATCTATTTCAAGCACTAAACCTTAGAAACCTGTGAGGAACTAACCTCCCCATGGAGGATTTCAGAAACCATGATAAGAACTTACGTATTCTTTTACATAACATAGCAATCATTTTCTGGTCATAGTTTGGTTACGTATTTGGGGAAATCTTGTTTTTTTCATGGGGTTCTGGGGGGCCTCACACACAGTTGAGAAACCTTTTAGTGCAGAAAAGACAAAAGACTGAAATCATAGTTTCTGAAATTTATTCCCATTTATAGTATTATAGAAAGTGTAGTCAATAAATCTTAAGGCTTTGATCTATTTCAAGCGCTAAACCTTAGAAACCTGTGAGGAACTAACCTCCCCATGGAGGATTTCAGAAACCATGATAAGAGCTTACAATGTACATGTATTCTTTTACATACATGTGTAACATCGATAGCGATCATTTTCTGGTCATGTAGTTTGGTTACGTATATGGGTTTAATCTTGCTTCTTCATGGGGTTCTTGGGGCCCCACACACGCATACATGATAGTTTTCTTCAAATAGGCCTAAACAAGCAAAAAATGCTGGCAAAATATGATAAAGATGCCTTTATAGAACTCCTGTGTTCAAACACTACAAAATGTACATTAAGTACACTGTACATGCAGAAATATACACCTGCATGGGCGTTGCCAGGATTTTTTCCAGGGGGGGAAGCAAATTTTTACCCAAAATTCCTTAACTTGTTCATTATTCTCAATTTATCATTTTTTTCGAGTGTGAGCAGGGGGGAATTGCTCTACCCCCCCCCCCCCCTCCCTCCCCCGCATCAAATTAACACCAATAGGCCGTATGGCTTCGCAGCTCTTTTTTTGCCCCCTCTTTTTTTTTTCTTTTTCAGGGAGGGCAAGTGCCCCCCTTGCCCTCCCTTGTGTCACCCATGTACCGGTACACCCGTATGCCCCCATCCTTTTTACAAATTTGTATTCGAATACCGATTTTCAAAATCCAAACCTAATAGTGGAATTAAAAACCGAATATAATAAAATCCAGATTTCAATCACCCCACTACATGTAGTTTACATACAAGAACATCTTATATGAGTATTTAGTTTCTTGACATCTTTCTGCTTGTATCTTATCAGATACGTGCAGCCGATGTGGATGCTGTTGCTTTTCAGGAGGTACGTGCTGACCGAGATGAGAAACGTACACAGCTCCTGGAGCTGAAGGCATTACTTCCGTCTTACAGGTGGCATGCTTACCACCCAGTGCAGAAGGTCATCCCACACAAAGGGGCTCCCCTTGGCTGGGAAATGGAAGGTACATGCATTTATGAGCTAGTAAGGGGTCGTTCAGATGGGGGCCATATGTTGCCGGCTTTCTGCAAGCTTGCGGAAGCTTGCACAAGCTTGCAGGAATTGTGGCAAGCTTCCAAAGAGCTATTACAATATTGCAAGCTTGCAGCTAGCTTGCAGCTAGCTTGCGACTAGCTTGCAGCTAGCTTGCGACAAGCTTGCGGCAAGCTTGCGGACATGCAGCCTGTTAGTATTAAGCTTACGGAAAAGAGCGCAAGCCCATACGAGCTTGCAGTGAGCTCATTAAGTTTGCCACACGCTTGCGACAAGCTTCAAGCTCAATTTTTTTGTAAGGGATCTCCGCAGATAGCTCTGGAGCTAGAGTTCCACCCAAAATAGTTGTCGTTGGAACCTAACTCCGCCTCCGGAGCTCTCCCCAGAGCTAGCCAGGACCAATTCTAGTCTCGAAAATTTGTTGGCCTAGCTCCACTTTCAGCTCAGTGGGGCTTGTTTTACAACCTAGCTCCACCGTTATTTGTCGTTTGGACGCAGCTGACCTATAACGCCACGCCGACGCATCTGGTTGTTGTTCGTTTGTCTGACGAATATTATGTAACCTATTCAGTGACCTTTTAGCTTCACTGTAACTCCAGCTCTGGAGTTAACCATCATCGTATGAACATGAGCACCGTATATTTTAGATCCATGGAACCCCAGTTCAGTTCATTACTTGGTAAAGAGCTGGCTCTAGAACTGCCCTCCATCAGAACCTCTGAGTCCTTTGATATGTTGGTTCAAAAGTAAGGAGAGAGTCAGTATCATAAACTGATTCAAATTCTGTTGTGATTAAACTCCAAAATGAGTTGTTGCAGAAAAAAAAATCAGTGGAAATAAGTATAATGGCTTTCAAGCCAAAAATTAAATAAATTCCAAAACACAAAAGTCTCTTAATGGGAAATCGGATGAATATGGTGAAAATAATTTCACGACCAATATTTTAGAAAAGTAGCTTACATGAACATTAGCGGCACAATTTTTCTTTTTTCAGAGGACACAAAGATAAATTTTGCCTTGTATTTGATTAATGAAAATTAAACAGGCAATAATCAAAAAGAGAATGCCAAATTGATTGGAAAAACATGTTACTGTACTTTCAGACATGTCAGATATCTATTTTTTCCCCCGCATCTTGAAGGTTTGGGTGTTCTTAGCCGGTATCCAATCACGGCTACCAGTCTCCAGCCCCTGACTCATCAATCTCCGAAAGACAAGAATCAACGCACGGTCCTGCACGCATCATTGCGGATCAGCCCTGGCCTGAATGTCAGCATTGCCGTGGTCCATCTGTCATATGACCGCTGGCAGCAGTGTGTCAACGTGGCCGAAATCATGAAGCATGTACGGGGTAAGACCAATTGCTGAACTGGGAGTCAAATCACTGAGCTAGGGGTTAGCCAATGTTTAATACAGGTTTCATGTCCACTGAAAAGTTGAATGCTGCCCTCTGGTGATTGTATGTGTCCAGTCATAGCTGGTCAGAAATGTATTATTTAACTTCTAGGGAGAGAGTGGTAAATCTTAAGATTAAACCCAAATCTTATTAACTGGCCCTCACCCCAAACTTAATGCTAGCTCTAACCCTTACCCTTAAATACCCTATAACCTTACCCTAAACTTACCCCGATCGTAACCATATAAACCCTTACCCAATCCTAACCCTATAACTTTAACCCTAACTGTACCCTAACCTTATCCCTAAACTTTACCATAACCTTAGCCTAAACCTTATCCTAAACCTTATCCTAAACTTTACCCTACCAGCCAACCTTAACCTTACTCTCATCCTAACCCTAGCCCTAACCACAATCCTTACTCCTAACCTTTACCCAAACAAACTTACCTCTTCTGTGAAGAATTTCAGTCATCAGTTGCCACTTAATACATTTGTAGTTAAATGTGGCTGTCCTAAACTTTAACGTCAACTGAGCATTAAATTCTCTGAAATTCAACACCATATTCTGGAGTAGCTTGAGTGATTCAGCGTTGTACAGCACAGCCATCATGGCTCAACGTGATGTCATGTTCATGGTAAAGTGTTGGATTTTAGCAAATGTTAGTTTGTGAGGCAGCAACCCCCGTGCAATGTGTTATGGAAACCAAATTTCTTAAAAAAATTCCATCTTAAGAATAGTTTGGTTGCGGTACTCGCTGCTATATTGGATTCGAACCAGCCAGCCGCCCAGGGCAGGCTCGGTGGTCGAGTGGTAAGACGTCTGCACTAGTAAGCAGGAGGTCGTGGGTTCGAGTCCCACCCGAGTGATTTGTTCTCACAATCACTCGTGACAACACTGAGTATACAGTGTTCATCGAAATACGTCGGTGAAGCGCAAAACTCAATATTGAAATAAAAATCTACAGATGGTTTATGCATACGATCAGTTAATCTTTACCATGTGTCATTAGAGACCAGAGGCTTCATACTTCATTGATTCCTACCTCCCTAAGTCAATGAACCCAAATGTCATTATTGATCGTTCTGTTTTCACTCAGAGAAATTCAACCAATTCTCAAACCAGAAATATGTGAGATGAATGGCCTTTTGGTCGAGTGGGGCATGTTCAAGTACATGTATGTTACCACAAGTTGTTGCGGTTACATCCAAGGAATGTGTATATGTGTGTGTCAAGAATTGAATGACAGTGCTGGCCTTTTTAACCACAAGATTTTTGATAGCCATTCCAGTCGGTAGATGGGCCGTAAAACTACAAGGGATAATAAGCAAAAGGAACATTGTTAAAGTTTACTTTAGTCATTGATATTAATTACCCCCCTAGCCAGACAGTCGGCCCACCAGCGTTGGAAAAAAACTTCTTTTTTTTCTTCAAATCCTTCCCCCAATTTACCATATTCAGTTAGTCCGCATTTTGTTTGTAACCGATTACACACCTAAGATCGAGGACAAGCCAGCTAGACTGGTTCCCTGACCTTACAATTTCCTGACGTCTATAAACTGCTCCGTTTCATCTTAAGTGGAGTCAGGGAACCAGACTACAGGAACATGATTGTCTTTCTTGGTTTTTTCAGCATCTGCGAACACAAAACTTAAAACAAGTCAGTGTAACAATATTTGCTATAAAAACTAACCCCCCAAATCCATGCATTTCTGAAAATTACAGTAAAAACAAACGTTGTACATGTATATTTTTAAAGTTACTTTGATCATGGAGGTAGAATATGGACATTAGCAGTTGTTGAAGAAAGACAGATACACAGATCAATTAAATATCATCTCATTGGAAAAGGTGAAAACTACTCTTCAAAATTGTAGACCGTTTGAAATGGAGCCCCAGGACCAATTATCTAGAGAGAGTTGCCCATCCATGATTAATCAATTAATTCTAAATGGATTTCCAATTCATTAAACGCCTGACAACATGAGAAATTGAATAGTTGGCACATGAAACATTAAATATGCAACATCTCTGTCTCAGGGCAATGTCCTGTGGGTGAGGCCAGAACAGAAGAATGAAAACTCTCCTCAGAATTCCTCCCGGATCTGAAGTCAATTCCGTCTGATACTTGATACGGACGCACTTTGTCACCCGGACTAACCATTTTATTAACAGCCAATATTGAGTTTGTCTTTCCCTTGTGTGTATTATAGTGATGATCCATCAGTGAGTCTGTGTCTGTCTGAGGAGCAGGTGTTTCCCTTAAGGTGTTTTAATGCAAATTGACATTTTATAGGCCTTAATGAAAAAACACCAACTTTTTTTACAGATAGGATGAAGAATCTCGATCCATGGTTAAGTTGAATTTTTTCCCTGTGATCATTCATAATGCCATGGATCAACCAATCAGGTTCGAGAATTAAGGTTTGATTGAAGAAATATATTTATATGTACATCATGTACATGGATATTGATTTAATTTTGGGGCATGGCATCAAAAATATAAATAGCAATAACTTCCTATTCTTTAGAATTACTTGAGTTACTGAAGCTAAGTTACCGGTACATGTATGTTCAGTTCGAGTGTAAGATTTCCCTGTGTGTGCTTGGCCGATTTTATGACCGTTTTAAGTCCGTATTTTAAGTTCGTTCAAGACCTGAGCCGAAGGTGAGGGACATTATAGGCGACCAGGCCCCACGCCGGTCTTAAATGGACTTGTTTAAAACTGGCCAAGCACATATTTACATGTATTCCCATTTATAAATACGGTACCTTTTCAGTCAAAAAGGCAAAACAAGTCAAAAATTATAAATTTCCAACGTTTTTGTTCCACAATTGTACTTTATGTTTTTCGAAACACCCCTTTAGTTATGTTATGGTACGTCCCTCTCACGAGTAGTCTTAAATACCGGTAACTCCTTATATGGAGATTAGATGTGGCGCAGAATGCAGCGCTACCAGTGTAGTGTGAAGTTAGGACTCATTGGTCATGTTGCGCATGCCTATTGAAGTGAAGATTGTGAACGTTCAACCAATAAACGGGTATTTACAAGGGACCAGACTTCATCCAAATTTCATGTGACACCAGTGTTTAAAACCAGCCAGCTGGTGTTTTATCAACTGTTTAAGACTGGCCATGTGACAGGCTCTTGACCAATAGGAATGGGTAATCTGTCTTTGGTACCGGTATTTATGAATTGTTATCATTGCAATGAGCACTTCTTCCTAGTCTTTTCATAGACTGTTGTTATTGGCCTAGTTTGTGCTGTTATTGTGCAGCAGGAATTTCTACTCAGGAATCAGTGAAAGAATACACTGTGTCCATCACTGCCATCTCAGCTATGTAAACAAAATGCCATTTGACCGAACAAGCTATTTGCGATACACACTATTTACCAGCATTGCAGTAAAATCCAAAGTGTGACAACAATGACCAGATGAAATATTGGCAGGCTGAGAGGACATCTGTAGGGATTTTTTTTTAAACTTTGGCATTGCTCCAGCTTTGGCTATACCATTTAGCAACACCAACATTTCGAAGCTGACTAGGCTGTGCCCAATATACCGAATATTTGAATATTAAATCATCAACTGAATACCCAAATAGAGTTGTTTGTTTTCGATTCAAATATTCAAATCATCTGAGCCTTCTCGAGGAGACAATGAAAAACATGTGCATGTTATTTTCAATTGTATATAGTTGCGTGCCAGGTTTGACTTTTATTGAAAACCAATTTCGCGCATGATTTGAGAGCTCCCATGAGGAATTTTAGCTCAAAGTTTGTCGTTCAGATCGGTCAAATATCATCCATTCCGCTACCTGTCATTTATATTGTTTTTAAAAGCTCTGTGTCAATTTACGACTACATGTAGTGCAGGTGAACGCAAATCCTTATCGGCATGGTTAGACTGGTGCATGTTAAACTTGATCTGTGCATTTTGGAATCAAATGTTCCCAGTTGGAATTATCAAAATTATGGGGGGAACGCCCTCATAAAAAAAAACATCGGGCCCCCCCCCCCCCACCAATGTAAATTTGGCAACCGGAAAAAGCATGAATCCATGATAAGTGGGTTTAACAGAAAGTGCTGTTTTCACCCTTTTGGTTTACTTTTGAAGAAAATTGTTTGTTTTGAATGAAAACATCCGGGGGGGGGGGGGGGGGGGTGCCCCCTTAAAAAAAAATTTGTCCCCCCTGTAAATTTGGCAACCGAAACAAGCATGAATCCATGAGAAGCAGGTTTAACAGAAAGTGCTGTTTTCACATTTTTTATTTATTTTTGATGAAAACCGTGTTGTTTTGACTGAAAACATCCAGCCAGCCCCCCCCCCCCAGCCTCCAGCCCAGTCCCCTCCCCCAGGTTCCCAGCCACTCAAGAAATCTTGGAAAACCTTGAAAATGAGTCTCATTTTTCCCCCCAGTCACGGAAAACTCAGTGACCCAGAAGGACAGGTTTTTGCCAGTTTGGCGTATGTGCATCTTGTGCCGTGTGTCCAAGTTGTGTCCATTGACTGAATGGTTATGGTGGCTTGTTAGTGTTTATGCAGTGTGAATATTACACACCTCTCCAAATAATAACAACTGGTTGTGCTACACCACCTCTTGACTTTCAAGCAACCTTGTTGAAGTGAACAATATTTTTCATGGAATTTTGGAAATTTCACAGGGAAAAATCAGGGAAACTGGGGGGATTTTGTTTTCATAAAGTGCTGGGATTCTTGGAAATGTACTGAAGTCAAATCTTCAAGTGCAGCCAGAGTTTGGCAAATCTCCAGTAGCTGATATAGCTACTGTTTTCTTTGCGCATACTTCTGCCAATGTGTGGCGCGTGAATTGATCAGATCTTGTCACTCGCTATTCCCCGGCAAATTCATCAACTGGACCAAATCCTGAACAGGGAAAAATTCATGGCCGTGCCTGAAAAATATGGCATATCTGAAAAAAAATAGGGATATTTATAATATATTAATGAATTATTGCTTTCTCAGAGTACATTTTTTGGACCATGGTGTGAATTATACACAATCACTGACTTTGGTAGCGTAAATCATAAGGCGTTACCGAGTTGACATTTATGCTACCCAAGAAGTACAACTGATGATTGGGTATACATTGCCTATACATTTTTGTACATATATTGGTATACATTGTAAATCATACATGTAAGGCGTTACCAAGTTGACATTTATGCTACCCAAGAAGTACAACTGATTGGGTATACATTGCCTCGTTTAGACTAAATATTTATACAATGTTTTCACAATGAACATGTACTTTCCCTGTATTACCTTAAAGGGAATATACAACATTTGCAAACATCGAAGTTTTTATGAAATACCTTAATAGGATGTTTGTAAATAACAGTGTAAAGCATCCTGTAAACTTATGGCACCTGGTGTGAAGTCATTTTCAAGAAAATAGTGTTTTTGTAAAAATTTCCAGCGGTGGTCGGCCGACCACTATTGGGAAAACCTAACTATTTTTCAACTACTGCTCCAAATTCACCATTAATTCAGTCCAAATTTTGTTCGCTATCGGTTACATGTTCATGAACGGGTGCAGGCCAGCTAGACTGGTACCCTTACCTTACAATTTCCGGCATCTGTAAATTGATCCATTTTATATTTAGTGGAGTCAGGGAACCAGACTTGAACAGTTTTGTTTTTCTTGGTTTTTCCAGCATTTTCGAACACAAAACTTCAAACATGTCAGTGTAACAATATTTGATCTACATGTATTATACTATCCCCTCAAATAGTTCATTTTCTGAAAATTACAGCATTAGCCAATGATGTATATTCCCTTTAATATATACATGTAACAGCATTAAACAAAATGCAGTTAAAGGTAAAATACAACATTTGCTTTTGCTGTAATTTTCAGAAATGGATGGATTTGGCAGTTAGCATTTTCTAGCAAATATTGTTACACTGACCTGTTTAAAGTTTTGTGTTCATAGATGCTGGAAAAACCAAGAAAACAATGCTGTTCTTATAGTTTGTTTCTCTGACCCTACTTCAGACGAAATGGAGCAATTTGTAGATGTCGGGGAATTGTCTGGTCAGGGAGTATAGCTGGCTTGCACCCATTCAGTGATTTGTAACCGATTGCAAACAAAATGTGGACTAACTAAATTTGGTAAAGTGGAGGCATTATTTGAAAAAAAGTCAGTTCTTTCCAACTATGGTCAGCCAACCACATGCAGTTGGAAAATTGATACAAAAATTCCACTTTCCTTGAAAATGACAGCACACCAGGTGCCATAATTTCACAGGATGCTTGAGACTATTATTCTCTTACAGTCAAGTAAGGTATTTCATAATAATTTGGTAGTTTAGTTTTTTGATGTTTGCAAATGTTGTATCTTTAAAAGTAGGGTTTTCCCCATTAAAATAAAAATATGTTAGGAGAAAAAAATAAAAATTTTGTTGAGGCCATAGATGCAGTAGCACGTCTTTAAAGTCTGGTCATATTTTAAGTGCTTTAAAAATAGTTTGTTCCAACGATACCACGTGTCTGTTCGTGCAGTGTACAGAATATAGGAACATGTGCTTTTCATGTGTCAGCTTAAAATGTTACAATGAGTGACATGTCACGCACCGTCTTACTGACACTCATGGCCTGCACATGAATGCGTTGAAGGGGTCGTTCCGAACTGGGGCATGTGATAACCTGTCCAGTTTGATTTAGCTAGCGAGAAATTATCTCCAGATTTGTTCCTGCAGGGGCTTGTCAGAAATATGTTCGGAAACATACTCTTGCATTCTAAAACTCGATACAGCATTGGTACTTGAAAACATTCCAGTAGGGGCGGCAAATTTGTTGTTTATCAATGTGGCACATACTTGTCACTTTATGTTACAGTAGGTTTTTATCGCGGCTGAAATATTGCAGAACGTGTGGTTTCTGAAACTTGCTGGTGGGACTCGGCTTTATTGCCGGCAAATCATTGCCTCAGGAGCGGCATTGCTGTACTGTCAGCAAAGTTAGGGATAACCAGCATTGGAATGTGGGTTGTGTAACCGTGATAGAAACATCAGAGGGTAAAAGAGGATGCTTAGTTGAGCCATCCAAGAAAGAATCTTTGAAGTTTTTATTCAAGGTTCATGCTTGTATGCCATTGACCTATCCTGCTGATGGCCAGGAAACTACACTTTAACATGTTTAAGAAAGAATACAAGAAATGGACCAACATCAGAACGAGTCGGTAGTCTATCGGTAAATATTCCCAGGTAGGGAATTTGTTCCATGCAATTTTGTGAATTAATACCCTGTCAAAAAAGGCTATACAGAACCTGATGTGTACGACAAGTGATTAATTATGAACCATAGTCAGATGACTGTCAGTCAAAATGTACACAATGGTTTACCCTGGAAGTTGCTGTCCCTTGCTCTTTAACAAATTAATTGTTTTCTCCTTACAATTATTCACTAATATGACTAATTTAAATGATATTTTTTTTCCATTGAGCATCTGCAACCTCTGAAAAAGACATTTATTTTGGTTGCCTTTGTACCTCTAATGCACAGACGGATCTGCCTGAATATTGTCGGCTGCAAATAATTCAACATTTGTACAGTAATTATTCCATTACTAAACAAGGGCAGACTTTTTGTTCAATATCTCATTTAAAAGTGAGTCTTAACCTCGTAGTGAAATACTTTTGTATTTAATAGAAAAGACAGCAGTTGAAAAAAAAATTAAAAATTCAGGGTCCACATTATTTCCTGTCTCCGTTGCATCTGGCATCTGTGATTTTTATAATTCTGATGCACACCTTAAAATAATGTAGTCGTCCTTCAAAAGTGGTTACGAATAGTAAACTACCTATCCAACAAATGTAAAATCGTTTGAAGTCATTCTTAATGATATAAATGGTAATTACAAAGTACTAAGGTAACAGGGATAAGAGGTAATAAGGTAAAATGTAATTTTTCAATCAGCGGTTGGATATCCAAGACCAAGACCTTTTTGTTCCAATAAATGGCAAATCTGTTTATTTTCCCCATTTTGCAGGCACCAAACCAAAACATTCCATCATCCTTGGGGATTTTAATACCTACACTGACTATCCGTGGCCACTAGAGGGCCTCCTTCAGGGTTACTTTTCGACCACCAACAAATGCCCTAAGTACGCAGCTCGGAAGAATCCCACTTTGGAGGCGGAGCTTGTTTCCTACACAGATGCGTGGGGGGAGGTAAACCCAAACAAGAATGGGTTCACATTCAGCAATATGGTGAGTTGAAAAGCTGTGTTTTTAGATTAACAATTACAAGAGTAGTTAAGAATATAACTTGTACCTTTATAAATCCTTGCAAATGCTAGTTATTGGCAACAGTAATAGTGAAAGCATTGTGTGTTTAGGTAACTTTTTGCAACTTTTTGTAACTTTTTGCCAAAAGAAGTTATTCCAGGCAACAGATACATGTATAGCGTTGTTCTTCATCAAAGACTTTAATTTTCCTTCCTTAAATTTAATGACAATGTCAGTTAAACACAATTTAAAGTTAGTACCTTAACTAAAAAGACATGCTTTGTATGATCATTAATGTTTAAGATCGTTCATTAGATCTGCAGTTAGTTATATCTTGTGTGCTTTCCCTTCTAACAGCCTCAGCCTGGATTTCAGAGTCGGCCAGATCGCATCCTCTTCTCCTCCAAGTCTTGGCGAGTCAACTCCTGCCACTTACTTGGCCATGGTGAGGAGTACGCCAAGATGTTGACCTTGCGCATCACCTGGAATCGACTAACCACCCTCCTGAGTGCTGCCGAGAATGCCTTCTACCCAACCACTACACCAAGGGGCTGTTTGCATGACTGTGGTCCGCATGGCTCTTGCCGATGTGGTATCTGCGTCTCTGGTGGTGACAAGAATCGCTGTGAGATACCGAACTGTCCCGAGTGTTCCGCTGATGTCTTCCGAAACTACCTGATCATCAAAGTACTATTTATCATCCTAGTTGTGCAGTTTCTTGTCTCCCTTGTGCTTTTTGTACTACAGTGTCGAGCAAGGCGGAAACAGGCACTATCGTCAGGTAGTTCATCACTTATCTTCTCTTGTTGCTCTTTTGGTAACCGCTATTCTGCGACACCCAAAGTGCCGCGTTCCAGGCTATGCATGGTGCACTTGTTGAGGTTTATCTGGCCGCTGTTGTACATGCGGCCAAGCTACCAGCTTTTCATCTGCAGCGTGTGTTGCGTACTTTTGTTTGTTCTGTGTTTCCATTTGTTTGAGGACGCTTTGCGAGTTATTTATGCCGTCTTGCCTGAGGAACTCAACCCATCGGACCATTTAATGGTCGTGGCTACTGCTGAAGCTTTATGAAAACCGAAAAACTGAGAAAAGACTTTTTTCTGAAACTGGGCCTGATTTTGTGGAGCATGGAACATGCTTAGCACTGAAATACATGCTTAACTAAACCTTTCATTAGATGGAATGGCTTGGTTGTGGTATCCACTGGTATATCTAATTCGAACCAGCCAGCCGGCCCCGGCAAGGTCGGTGGTCGAGTGGTAAGATGTCTGCACTACTAAGCAGGAGGTCGTGGGTTCGAGTCCCACTTGAGTAGTATTTTCTCACAATTACTCAAGATAACATTGAGTATGCAGTGTATATAAAAACAATTGTCTGTGAGAAAGACAAAACCCAACATTGAATGAAGTGAACCTACATGAACATATAGGGTGAGTCAAAAAGAAATTGACCTGGATTAATGATTTTCTTTTCTGAAAAAAAAGCAATCAAATTTGGTACACCAATGGAGTATGTCTTGAAAGAGCATGTTCTTCCACTCATCTGAAGAAAACAAAATCACTGAAATTGATCCATGCTATCAGAAATTATGCATGTTGTACTGAAAAATACTTTATTTTTCTAGCTGTGGAATGCCATTGGAAGCTATTGAGCTGAGTGAGAATTACAGATTACACACAGGCATTCAAATACAAATGATATTTTAATCATTTGAGTCGAGACTGAAAAATTATTTTTACCGTCAGATTTTGTGTTTTGAATGTGAGGAACAAGTCAACTCTTTTGTTTTGAAATACTGATGGCAATTTTTGGAGGTTCGAAAAGGTCCATGTTTCATTGTTTTTAATGGGTATTCATCAGTTCGTAGAACGGTAAATGATCAGTGGTGGACAGCTGAATTTTGTAATCTTTTTATCCAAATAGATATAACTTGGGAATTGAGTATGCAAATGACGTGAAATGTTCACAGTTACTAGTCAATAACATGTACTTTATACATGTACCTATGTTATTTATTATTCGAAATGGCGCGAGCCACGTATTTGTGACAAAATATATATTTTCTCAATTTTCTTTTTGACTCACTCTGTAGTGTCGTACTGAATGTTGCTTGTAAGCCATGTTTTCTGTTCATCAGCAGCTTCGGGAATTTGGGTTCTGGTAAATAAATGTGTCTTTTGTGCAATATTTAAGTTAGAAATGTTTTGCCAACTCCCCTTTTTCAGTGGTAAGGGAATCATTGTTGTTCTAGATTGCAAATATAATATTTATATTTATAATGATTATAATAATTGTAAGAATGCATAATTTACAACTCTTTTGTCAAGCAACTTAATATTGCCACGTTTATTTCGAAATGATGAAGATAATTTTACTTCTGTTTATCGTGAAAGGATACTGGTTATAAAAAATGTTTCCAAATAACAAGTGAAATTTTATTGCATATTTAGTGCTGTAAAGCTCTCTTCTTAACTTAAAAAGAATACAGCTTGTCTCTCCAAAAACAATGTAGCACTCAAAAAACCAAAGTGAGGAAACTAAATGAGATGATAGAGTGTTTCTTTACCCTTGACAGGATTTTTGTTCTGTGTGATTTGGACCTTTTGTTTAAAAGTTTAGGGAAAAGCTTGTAAAGACTCTCAAAATCTGTTTGGACCACTTTTCTGATTATCTGGCATCTAATGAATTATGAAAGGCATTTACACACCTTCTTGGTATGTGAATGCCTTTCAATAGATTTCAGATAATCTGGATGATGGCCCAACTTGGAATTCAAGTCATTTCATTCAATTAGCTGTATCTCTGGACTGGGGTGTCCAAATGAGATGGGATAAAGACCATTGTGTAGAGTACTACACCGTCAGACTCTATAGAGAAGTTTTACATTTTTAAGTTTTGCCAAAAGAGAGTGCTAGTATTTTGTAATATCCATGGATTGACTGCTACATGTTTATTGACAACACACTGTACGTCAAATTTCAGACTTGTGTAAAAATTCAAAGTTTTCAGCATGGTGTTACATGTATACATGTTTTCAAAGTATTTTGTTTTGGCAGAATTTAGCGGCGATATATAAATGTAAACATTTTGGTTTTGCTCATTATTGATGTTGATCAAGGGCATTTAGCTTGCCTCAGTCAGGTGTCACTTGCCATACTTTGTTTCTCTCTGATCTGCACTCCAATAGGCCTATATCTGTATGAAAATTCAAGTCACTAAAGTCTTTGATAGACTGTAGAAAATTGAACTTGTTCTTATTGAATATTAAGACCCAGTGTCTGGACTCTCTAAGAATATTTGTATTTTACTTTTCGAGGCAATGCAATATTATCATTTCAATAATTTTAATTTTTTTTTAAATTGGTATAGGTTTTCCTGGCTAGTTTATCACGTTTAGCATTCGAATTCACCATTTCTAATGTTCAAATTCGTCCATCAACATCTATTTGGTGTACTTCCAATGTTTATTTTCGTCGTTTGTCAGACAATTTCAAACTTTGTTCAAGCAAATTCATACAATGAGTTCACGTTTTCGTCCCAGAGTATTCGATTTCGTCTCGTTTACGCCAAACCTTGTTATTCAGAAATTCGCCTAATTGATTTATAATTATATAAGAAGATTTGCCATTCGGCAACAGCTTAGACGAATTTGATCTGTAATGACCTAATTCTCGACCCAGTGACTAAAGAGGGTGACCAAACATTAAAATTGGATGGTAAATGACTCAATTGGTTTTGTTAAAAGCGTGTGGATTTTTTCTCGGACGAAATTGAATATTAGAGTTGGTGAATTTGAATGAGGAAAATGTTTTGAAATAGCCGGGAAAACCTATATTATTATAACTGTATGTATCATCATTCAAACTCTATTTTCGTGAAAATAACACCACACAATGTTCAGTGTAGTTGAGTGTTTCCGTATTGTTTGGTTCTTTTACCATTATCATTTTTTTGTAAAACGAAAAAATGGAGACCAAAAAATTGGATCAGAAAAGAGCCGTCTGATTTGCGGTTACGGCCGTTACCGTGCGTGTGGATGTGCATTCGGGTCACGCTAAATCAAGTGGTTTTCCAATTAATTCACAAGTTTGGGTCCGCATGGTTTTTTATTATTAACGTTGCCGGATGATCTTGGAATATCAAAAATCAAACTTTCATGACATTTAAGACGGTTATTATACATGATTTTCCGTCCTGATATCTGTGCCAGTGTTTTACCGTGGTTTGTAACGAAGTCTAGTAAACCAGATTTGTCATACATTGTAAAATGTGCAGTAAACAGATTAGGTCCATTATTGATCAGTTTATTGTCCATAAACCAGATTATGTAAACCATATAACGTATCATTATGATCAAACCCGGTCTTTCGAATGATCAAGATCGGTGGAATTACGCCTATTAATTATTGACCCATTTTGAATGAAATAATCTACTAATAGGCTTTAGTGAGGATTGGATATTAATGAAATGGCCAAGAATATTGGTCTGACAATCTCTGTGGTACAGAGAAAAAATACCCAGCTGCACTACGGGCTTCGGGAAACGACTCGGGACGCTGTAGAACGCATGCGCCCAATGTTGACGTCATTCACGTAGTGCGTGTGGCATAATTCAAAATGATGATGGTATGTGGTACAGTCATTCAGACGGATTTGTACTGCATGCTGCATTCAATGTCCTTGGCCTTTTTTTGTTTTTTAGTACAGCCCGGTAACAACTTCATATCAGGTGAATGTCCTTTCTGTAAACAAACTGAGGAAGGCAAATGCCCTTTTAAAGAAAAGGTAACAGTTGAAAAACCTTTTTTTAAGGACAGGCTTTTCTGAACAGGAGCAGTGCTTATAACAAGAACATCGTTATGATTGAACTTCCGTGTGAGGCCATTTTAGGAAGTCGACACCATACGATAAAGCGCTAATGGGATATCCGGATTCACCCTCAACGACGTAGAAAACATAACGGGAAATCACAAGCAGTAAATCGCCTTGAGATGGCCGTTCATTGCTCCGAGTAAGAAGACGGAACTGACTTAACAATATGCAAATCTGTCTACGTCACCGTCTTGGTTCAAGCAATTCAAGGACGCCATCTAAACTGGGATTTCTGATCCACTTCCGGAATGTGTATTTCTGGATTTCAAGCAAGAAAGCTGGCGGGTTTGAATTGTACCAGGAAGGTGGTGTGAAGTGTAACGACAGGTTCGATCGCCCTTCATAGGCTACGCTTAAATCAGTTTTTTTTCCCGATCGTTAAAAATTTGAACAATGACGGTCTGGTGTCTGACCTCTTTGCCACAGTTGAGAGGTAATCGTGCACACCGTCTATTGTGTTTTAACACGTTACAATTTTCTGGTCCGGGAGCCAGTCTATTGCTGCTGGCTGGCTGGCTGGCTGGCTGGCCACGTGCAACTATGGAAGCCCCTGGCTAGCGGCTTACCAGGTCCTGTCAAAATCCCATGTATACAACCCAAGCGGAATTGCCCGCTCGTATCTCTTCGGGAAGCATCTATTTCTGGTATGGCACCAAAACTCCCTAATGAATCGCGGGGGAATCGCTGGTAAACGCACCCGCGTTCCCCTCATCACACTCGCCCTATCAGACACCAATGACGTCATTCGCGTGCACGTGCCACAAACAGTTTCCATCTGTGGGGTTATTTTACGACCGGTATTACGTCTATGGAGATGATAGACTCAACAGGCAAAGATCGATTGATGGCATCCAAGGAAGGAAACGAAGATGATTAAAACAAAGTGAATGGGCTCGATAAAAGTCGTTAAGCTATCCCCGAGTGAGTGATTCGTGTTCAAGACTGGCGTTATGATCTATGAACCGACAGTATTCAGAACGATTAGATGTGCCTATTCATCTAAGAATGTGACATTATGACGTGGGCGCATAACGCGTGACGTATCTTACGGCAGTGAATGTGTGGACAGACTTTTAGAAGGTCGGATGAACCTTTAATGGTTGTCGGTTGATATAACGAATTTCTTAAAGCAACACGGCTGAATTACCATCTCAAACGGCCAACGAACGAACAGTAAAATTTAGAGATTATGATAGGTATGGGAACAACATAATATAATGAGACTGGCTAATGCCCGAAACTGCCTGATCATTTAATCCTTTAAAGTGAGATACTTTGTCAATGTACGTAGCTGTTTACTAAACAGAGTGAAATTCTTTGTACTTTCCAAAAACAAACAACTTCACTAAAATCATTATAGTCTTGCACCTTTTTAAAGCTGTATATGAACTGTTGATCATCCTAAGGTCTTTTATGTGATTTTTTTTAGCATTCCATGTGTTGATGAAACAAAAGGTTCATAATGCTAGCTGTAGAGGCTTCTATGGATATTACAGTTCTGGACATTTTCGGCCAATGTGGTAACTATTATGAGGGTCAAGATACTTGTAATAATTCTTCGAATTGTTCTGCTGAGTCGATACTGCAAAAATAATGATTATACCATACCGTGTACAATGTGCTCACATTGATATTGGATCATCTTGTTCATTGACACCGATGCGGTATGTCAATAATGCCAAGTCAAGTATACCTAAACAAGTTTAGATATTGCATAAACTTAGTAAAGGTTGACGTGGACATCCGGGAATTTGTTTTTGTTTTTACATTGCTTATCCAGCTCCACGACAACTTTCTTGAAGCTCAATGGTTCTTGAGTCTGGAGTGCTGGATGAATACCGCCCACACATATTGTTTTAGCAGTTGAGGCTATAGGCCAATCCAGGCACGCCATAAATTCTATCACAAAAGCCCCCTCCAATGGCGTGAGCATTGTGCCAGCTATTGTTCAGTTTATCCGTGACGGGGCATTTGCTTTGTACAAAGCGTGCACAATGGTTTCTCCATTGATGGGGGCCTCGTGGGTGTACATTGATCACGTGCCCGAATTCGTCTATACCATAAGCCAGCGTCTTTTGCTCGAAATGGCCCTGTTTATTTCTGATACAACTGTTACCTGCCTTCCTCCCATATGTCTTTTTTGGTTGGGATGCTAGTCTGGTCACGCCAATAGTGTAGCATCAGCCAAAGTGTGCATGCAGCAAGCTACCCTGGCGTTACCAGGCCCGTCCTTACAATGATTACACCCGGGGTAACGTTTATTGAAGCGTTGACGACGGGAAATCAATGGCCGTGCAGCCTGGCCCGGGCTGATGCCCTCGAGGGCTGTCGCCTGGGATGCAAGCAGATAGCGGTTATGAGGAGGAAGCGATACCCGCTGCATCCGGGAAGCATACGGGTGCTCAGGTGTGCTACTTCCCCTATCTGTAGAGCTAGTGCCTTAGCACATTATCCGAATACTGCTCTTTTGTTGTTGGGGTTTTTTTTGGGGGGGGGGGGGTGGGGAGATTATCTTTGTGCAAGGGATAATATTTTTGCGACTCAGCTGTTGCCATTTTGCGCATGTGTGCCATTTTGATTAAACAAATCCTATTTCCATATTAACATTTTCATACATTTTTTTAAAGACAAATTGAATGAGCTCGCTGTAAAACAATGTAAATGTACAATTATTGAATTTAGTGAAATGAAACAAAGAGTTACAAACCACGTAGACGGTCAGTGGCGTTACCAGCGTCCACTTTTGTTGGGGGAAATTGTCTTGGGAGGGGCACTCAGTGTGTTTTATTTTCTAAGTTCAGTTATGATGGGCCTTTTTTCTTCACCGGGATCGGGGTGGGGGATGGGGTAATAGGCCTCCAGCAAAAGGGAGGGGGGAGCTCTACCTTGCCCCCACACTCAGTTTATCAGGATCTGGTACTTTGTGCTAGTGACACTGGCGCTCTTTCGAAGGCTTTTAACTTGCTCTTAATAAACGGTGTTAGGTTTTTAAAGTCTTGCAATCTTTTCGTTTGCTATTGGAAGATGGGGCAACATATACAGATGAAGGAGTAATGAGGATAGGTGGCCTTCCTCGTGTTCTTCAAGATCAATTATTATTCCGTTGACCTGTAATTGACCTCATCCCCAAGGCCCCACTTTACACAAATGCAAATATTTGACGGGGGAAAAAAGAGAGCAATTTACGGTCACATCCGATGCCAGTGCGTTCGATCTGGTATCGTGAAGCTCACTCCGCCATACATCCGTGTGTATTCATCCACCCACATCCGCTGGCTGCTCATCCGGAAGACCCGGTGAGTTTCGGTCGTGGGGGGAAAATTTGGTTGGCGCTCTTCCAAGAAATCTCTGCGCTTTACCCGCCATTATGCACGCGGGGTCTTTCCATTTCTCTCCCCGTACTTATTGAAGCAGCAACGATCGAAATGCGGTTTAGACCGGGTGAATTTCGGTATCAATATTATCTGGGTTTTCCCCGGAGTGGTTGAAACAGGGTCCATCTGATGCTCCCCAGTCCCTATATTCCCCAGTGTTCCCCTAGGGTTAGGGTTAGGGTTAGGGTTACTGGATATATGAATAGGGTCACTGTGGGGACCATATGGGGAACATGATTGGGACCTTTCTTTTGGTGCACGGGAAGTCTATATAGCAAGGTACCTCAAGGTACATTATGAGGACCGTTTTAGAGGAAAAGTCCAGGGTCGGGAGCACCGCATCTTCTCAAGGAAAAGTGAGAGCATGAAAGCCAAACGTTCAGGAAGAAGAAAGGAGTTTGTAAAAGTCTTGCAGTTTTCAGGGGCGAATTTCCAGGAAGCTGTGAGCATCACTTCCAAGCTTCATGCATTTAGAGCTAATTCTATCTCATTATTTTCTCACGAGACTTGTGATATTTTTCTCATTCAATTCAGGGGCATCGAGACGGACGAATTAGCAGCGCAAATCTGCATTACCTGGCCGAGCTAGCAACTTGATACCATTGCAAGCGCGGGTGCTAACTGGAATGTTTTCATATATCGGGTTAGACCTGAGGCCG